CAAGCAGGCAGGCAAACAAACAGACAGACACAGACAGGGCACATTACAGACACACACACACACACACACACACACACACACAAACACACTTATACACGCACGCGCACACACACACATACACACACACACACACACACACACACACACAATGAGACACACTGTACACAAATACCATGACACTGACATACTTACAGGGAGAACATATTTCTTGGACGTATTTCTCTTCAGCCAAGTGCTCATATCGTCAGCACTGTGTATTATCCCACTTGAAGGAATCAAACACTTCTACCAAGACAGTAATCCGATATTGTTTCCTCCTCCTCCTCTCCTTCCTTCCTTCTTTGCTTCCACCCCTCTTAATTCCAGACAGGAGGACAACAGACTCCTGAGAAAGTACTCCAACTTCTTTTCTCTTCCTTCTTTCTGTATTCTTCCGTCCTCCCTTCCACCACTCTTAATCCTCGACTCGAGGACAGAAGAGTCCCGAGAAAGTACTCCGAATTATTTCCTGCTCCTCCTCCTCGCTCCTTCCTTCCTCCGTTCTTAATCCCGGACTGGAGTACCACAGACTCCTGAAAAAGTACTTCGAATTATTTCCTCCTCCTCCTCCTAGCTCTTTCCTTCCTTCCTTCCTTCCGCTGCTCTTAATCTCGGACTGGATGACAACAGACTATCTCTCTCTTCACACGGACACCAAACGTCCACGGCTTTACCCCGGGCTTTAATCCAGGCCTGTAGTGTCCTTTCAGCGGCAAGGCGCGACACGAACTGATCAAATCAGGCCGAACGGCGAGGTAGATTTTACCCCGGGTAGGAATAGAAGGTAGGGGAAAACAGCTGACTGGGGGTTGGGGGGGGGGACGAAAAGTCTTCCTTCGGGAGAGAGAAGAGGTGTTATAAAAACACTGCAGCGTCCATTTACCTGTTTTATTGTTAAGTGCTTTATTTTTGACGCTCTACCAGTTTTTATTGTACTTTCACTAGCCCTGCTACCTGTTTTATTGTAAGTATTTTCGCTCGCTCCTCTAACACTGCTTTATTCTAGGTGTTCCCACCCTTTTCCACCTGATATATTATAAGAATTTTCAAAGTACAATTTTGCTTTATTGTAAGTATTTTCGACCCTCTACCCGCTTTATTGTAACCATTCCTGTTGCTCAATTTGCTTTAGTGTAAGTATTTTCGCTCCCCTAAATCCTTTCTTGTAGGCTGTTTTTTTTTTAAATTGTTCCTCTATCAGCCGTATTGTAAGTTAAGTATTCCGTTGCTCAGCTTGTTTTAAGTATATCCGCTCACCTACCCACTTTACTGTATGTAAGTATTTTCACCCCTCTACTTTTTAAATCAGAAGTATACTTTTATCTCCAAACTTTTTTTTTCCTTTTCTATTTGTGTGTGCTTGTGTGTGTGTGTGTGTGTGTAAAGAATTTATTTCTTCTTTTTGTGCGTGTGTGTATGTGCGTGTGTAGAGAAAGTCCTCAATAGCCAGACCTGGGGCGGGGGGACCTGTCTGTTGGGATTTCCGCTTGAAGTGGGACAAATTCTGGCCACGACTCAACGGCTACGGGTGACAATGTCGCCGTTCCGGTACGATGGGAAGGAGGGAGGGGGAGTGGAGGGGGGGGTGTTTAAAAGTTTGGGGACACCTTAAGCAAGAGGGGGCGAGGGGTTTACCCGTGGGTGGCGAGGCGTGGTCGATCCCGAAGCTGCGATCTCCAGCAAGTCAGCCAGCCGGCCGGCAGAGTTCAGTGTGTTATTAGAGTGATATTATCCTTGTCGTTGTTGTTGATGAGGTTTTTCTTCTTCTTCCTCTTCTTCTTCTTTAAAAAAAATTAAATTAAAGTCCTCCAACAGCTGTTACGAAGAGGAAACGTTTTTGACGTCAGTTACGTCGATTTCGCAAATCCAGGAACAGCCACATGTTGGAAGGTAATAATCCGGGACGTCACCGTAAATATTCCCCCAAGTTCAAAAGAATGAATGTTATCTTCCGAGCGTGGTTGCTTCACAAAGCTCAGTTCGTAAATACACGTCTATCACAGGTGGAAACAAACAATCTTAAGAACAAAACACAACCGGGTTAGGAATTAAATGATAATAATAACACCCCCCCCCCTCCATTTCCGAAAAAAAAATAACATGAATAAATAATAAATTGGTAAATAAATACATAATCATGTAATAATTATAAATAAATGGCTATATGAATGAAAAAACAAAATAAATAAAATAAAATAAATAAATAAATAAACAACACGTCAATGCCGCCTATCAGCATACGGTACCTCGTTATGTTTGGGAACGATTAGGACAGTTCACATATATCTATGACGCAGGAGAAGTGCAGGCATTTGGGGTTTTGTTTGTTTGTTTGTTTGTTTGTTTGTTTGTTTGATTGATTGATAGATAGTTTGTTTCTTCGTTTGTTTGTTTTGTTACAACACTTGCGACAAATATTGGTCATATAAACGCCGAAAAGTAGAAGGGTTACTTGAGAGCAGGATGCAAAGAAAAGAAGGAGAAGAGATCAGGACGACCGACGATAAACCAAACCAAACCACCAGCCAATCACCCGCAAACAACAAGAACAAGCAGGAAACAAAATGGAACAGGGAAACGTTAGAAGTACTGCAACAATTCAAACGGTTTCAGCGGCGTCTGTGGTGTAGCGGTCAGACGCTTCGTCGTCGCACGCAAGAGACCCCAGTTCGAATCACGTGAAGGGAGAATTTAACTGAGTACCCCACTCTTACACCTGAAATGTTGTATTTCTCTCATCCCGGGATGGCCCTGACTAGCAGGGTCGCAGCCCGCCTCCAAAATAATCTAAATTACGTCGATGTGGTCGTAAATTCTCCTAAATCTTGCACGGGCACGCTTGGGTTTGTAGACACTATACAAAAAAGTAGGTAGCTCGATCGAATAAGAATAGGTTGTTTTTTTTCTATATTCCGCAAACAAGCCAAATTCCAAAAACAAACACACGATTTATTTAGCGGGAAAAAAAGAAATAACAAGACAGATAGCTCAATCGAACAGGGAACAGTTCAAAACTCCACTGACAAACACAAATCCAAAAACAAACAGGGGACTTATATCGTGTGGAGAGAAGTGTCTATTCATCTTCTCCGAAACCGAAAGTCGAATCCAAAACGCGAGGCAACGCAAGACATCGCAACCTTAGAATTACAAAGTACTATCTGACATTTTTGGCCGTTTTGAGAAACTATAAAACCATGACGTCAGAATCCAAATGTTCCATCTGCTCTACTAAAACCGAAAGATTATTCGGAGTCGTTGTCACGATATTCAAAGTATTGCATTCGAAAAAAAGGTTGACATGTCGTGATTTTCAACATTTTTTGCGTCAAATTTCTCAAAACTAAGTACTGTGCAGATATAACTTTGTAATTCTAAGCTAGCGACATTCTAGACGCTTCAACCCGTCAAATATAAGCGTGCCCGACACAATAGGAGAACTGTACTATCCCGGCTAAACGTTACGATACTTCTCCACGGTGTACTACCAGTGAGGCTTCGATCTCCAGTTGAAAGATCCCTTGGTGGTCCAAAATCAGCAAGAGTAAGCTTCGACCACCACCAGAGCTTATTTCAAAATTAATTCCTAGCGAACTAAAAATGTGCAATGAGTCCGGTGCGCTCATATGTCCTTGTGCGGTAGCGAGCACCGTAAAGCACTTACAAAGATTTAAAAACAAACATTTCTTTGAGTTTAGAGTAAAGAGAAGCACATTGACACAATAATGACAGTTTAGTGCCAGGGAAAAGTCAGACAGACAGAGAGACAGACAGAAGAAACAACAGAGGGAAAGTAAATGAAGTAGGACCTACCAGAGGCGCCCTCCAACCACCCGCCACAAATAAACAAACAAACAAACAAACAAACAAACAAAAAACAAAAACGAAAGTCGAATCCAAAACGCGGGGCAACGCAACCCATTCTTGAGCACCTTTTCGTTCTCAAGACGCCACGGCCCGCCAAAGATAAGCGTGCCCGACACAAAAGGAGAGTGGTGCCATCCCCGCTGGACGCTACGAATATATTTATTCACGGTTGTACGAGTGAGGCTTCGATCTCCAGATCCGATTTGTGTGTCACAATCATCTTCGATCAGACAAACAACGACGACTGCTGAACAAACACACCGGGGGTTCGCCGACAGGTGAACGGCCGGGACCCCCCCCTCCTGGGGCGTCGGGGAGTGTTTGGCGGGGTGGGGTAGAGGGGGTGGTGGGAGTGAGAGGGAGAGGGGGCGGGAGAGACAGAAGGACAGACAGAGAGAGACAGGTAGAAGGAG